AGTGAATGGCCTTTTTGACTGAAAGCTTTCGAATAAAGAGTTTTATTTTTTTTTTTTTGCAAGTCTCACACGGGACCCAAGAGAAAAGCTCTCTGAGAATTGAAAAGTCCATCAGGAGCCGCTTAACGTCTTAAGCTCAACCGACTCAATGCCCAAGTGAATGGCAAAGACCCCTTAGGACAAATTATGCAAAAAAAAAAAAATACAAGTTCTTCTAAAAATCAATGTTGAGGCTTTGATTTGCAAGTCTTTGAGGAATTTTCGTTGTAAGTTTTTTTGGAAGTTTTTTAATACTGAAGCTCTATTACGGACGTCTCTCACTTGAAGCTCAATGGAAGAATTGGTTACCCTATTTTTTTTTTCAAGATGAAAGTTGACCACGCTATTCATTTCTATTGCCTTGTTTAAAGTAATTTCCGCGAAGTGCAAAATTGTCTTTGACTATCCAGAACTTAGTTATATTTTTCTTTCTCTGGCGGCTGTTTTAAATTTTTCGTTATCACTCTGAACACGGCTTAAGTTTTTTTTTGTAGAGCTTGAAGCTTCGAAAAATGTGAGGCTAAAAAATTCCGAGCGTGAGTTAATTTTTTTTCTTTTCATCGAGTTCAAGTAATTGAAAGAAACTTTTTCAGGGTTCAAAGGTAAGCTCGCAATTTGGCAACTTTCCACTCAGTCTTGAAAAAAATAGTCTTCAGAGTTTCAGACAGGAAAAAAATTGAAATAATCATTCAGAACGAACTATTTTTTTGGCTTCAAATTGGATAAGAAAAAAAGTGAATTTTTTTGATTCGAAAGCAACTTATTTTTGAAATAAAAGGTGAATACTAACTGCCTAAAAACTTTGCGAGTTGACCCTTGAAAAAAATTCTGAACGAAAAAAACTATTTGAAATAAAAACTACTAAGGAAATTCGTAAATATTCAAAAATTAACACCTTTTTAGTCCAACTCCCCTAACTTTCCAAAAAAAACTACAAGTAGTTACGTGGCGATTGAAAAAATAAATATTTCCCGCTCGAAAATTCATCAGAACCTTGCAATCCAAGTCAACTCTAACATTGACTTCAAAAGGACTTGTATTTTTTTGCACTTTTCCGAAGACCTTTTGCTGTCCACTGAGACATCAAATCAATTGACAATTTTAACTTTTTGAGCGGATCTCGATAGATTCGTCAATTCTCATGAAGCTTCTCTCTCGATTTCCTTGTGAGAATTTGCAAGAAAAAAACTGACCCCTTATTCGAAAACTCCCAATCAAAACTAACGGATACATACGTTCTGCCGAACAAATTCTTTGGACTAAAACATTTTTATTCCTCAAATTGCGTTGCAGATCCAAACTTTAAGACCCAACGCCAAAGAAAAAAAGAAAATCAATTCAAACTAGACTACCGAAATCTCAATAAGAACAAATCCGGAAAAATAGTTTAAAAAAATATGTTCGATACCTTAACGGATAATAGCTTTTTTCATATCAAGTTCAAGTCATGATAACTATATTTTTTTAACTTCTGTAATTCATGATAACTATATTTTTTTAACTTCTGTAATTTTCTAAAAAATTTCGAAAAAAAATTTCAAAAAATGAAGAAAAAACTCATTTTATCACTGAAGTGATAAGAACTTTAATCCGCTAGTGTTTGAACTATTGAACTATATGTAGCTGAATAATTATAAACCCGTCTGGAAAAAAAATAACGTATGTAAAGTGCTAGATAATGACAGACTTTTTTTGAATTTTGAAAAAACGAATTAACCGAGAAATTTCAAAGACAAGTGGCCTCACAATCATAAAAAAGAACCTTTTTGATAATTTAATGCAATACTTGCAGTCAAATTGCATCAAACCGTCACTTTTCAGAAATTTGGAATGTAGAAGTCCGTGATAAATTATACCAAAAGTTGCAATTGGATTCAACACTTTTTCGAAATTTAACAAGTATCTGAAATTTTTTTCAAAACTTCGTAGTGTTGGTTTGTTGCGATTCAACTTTTCAACAGCCTGAAATTGGAAAACAAAATTCGGATCCGCAACACAAAAATACAACTAAAAATTTAGAAAAATAAAGCGCTTTATTGGCAAGAATTCAGAAAGTCGATCGGCGGAACGTTTGCTCCGTTAGTAGACCACCCACCCAAGTTCTCGGCAAGAAAAAAAGGAGCCGGCCTTGGGTCATATTCCCCAGGAAAACTCTCGAAAACAAATAAATTATCTATTTTTTTTAAGCTTCTTTTTGAAGAAATGAGAAAAATAAAGCCTGAAAACATCGTTCAAATTTGACTGGAATGAAAAATTTTTTTGTCATGGGCCATTAAAACTCGAGCTACTCTGTGAAAGTCACCGAAATCTGAAAAAAATAAATAAAGAGTTGTTTCTAAAAAGATATTTTTTTCTAGTTCTAAAAAAACTAGAAGTCACTGAAAAACTTCTACTTCATTTTCGGACCGCTACTCTAAAAATTACTTGAAATAAGACAGATTTGAAAAACAATACTTTTTAATTTCTGGCCACATAGTTCCAAACAGTTTCGGCTTTTTTTGCGAATCTTGTAAAAAAATTCGAAAATTGATCGGAAATTTAAAAAATGGAAAAATTTGAAAAAAGTTCCGACTGAAAAAAATTGCGGCAAGAAATGGAAAGAAGGTTTTTTTTTCTATTTCCTAAATTAATTTGATTTCGAGAACTTTCCTGAGTAGAAAACGCCCAGCCGCCCCAGTTTTGGACGATTCCGATCCCAAAAGAGAAGGAAATCGAACTAAAAATTCAAACGAACCTAAACTTACTCGCGTTTTCAGATCCTGTAGACGGAAGACGGGCCTTCCCATCGATTCGTTGTCAATTTGTCCAATAAGCCTTTCTGGAAAATGCTCAAATTAGCAACAGTAAACAATTTTGAAACTCATATTTTATTTCACGACGCATCTTCAATCGTCGGGTAGTTGTCCGTTCCTCCAATTTGCAATGAAAACTCCTGAAATAAGACATTTTTCTTTTCATACTGAAAAACCTAAATTCGACATGTCGACGCGAAAACTCGATGGTAAAAATTCAAAACTTATTCTTAATTACTCAAATTCCATTAGCCGTGCAAAAGTTCTGGCGGCAGTTTTATAAAAAAAAAACTCCTGAAGGAAAGTTCAAAGGCGCAGAGGTTAAATCGTTGAAAGTATCGCGGCGAATAATCGATCCCATTGCTGTTCAAATTCTCTGCGCCTTTGAAAAATTTCCTGAAACAATAATTAAACAAACTAATCACATTAATTTTGATACAGGAAACGCCTTTTGAATAGAAAAACAACAATACAACGCCAAAAATTTTCAAAAAAGATTTAAAAATACGCAAAACCATCGATAAAATTAAAATTATACAATCAAACTATATAAAGACATCAATTACAATAATCAATTCAAAAATTAGGAAGAGCGGCAGCAACACCCTGCCCAGAACGGAGAAAAAAAGAGAATGACGATTGTTTTTGGGACGACGAATCTTTCGCGCCACCCCAGAGATCCTTCTCGAACCTCGGCCGCTTTGACTCCCCCGCCGTTAGATCAAAACTTTTGGCCAGATCAGACTCGCCATTTTTGATTATTTTTTGTCGGGGGTTCATCTTTTGAAATTCGTTTTGAACGTCGTGTTTTTCACAACTTTTTCGGAAATGATGAAACATGAAAATGCGTGTTTTCTTCTGGAATAGATCATAATTTTCATTTTCAAAACACAGTTTCAACAGCTAAATTTTCGAAAAAATTACACGTATTTGATTGATTCTTTTCTAAATTAAAAATTACTTTGGAAGACACAAGAGAAAGGGTTTCATATCAAAAAAATTTGTTACAAACGGAAAAAAGAATGAAATGAGAATATATGCGAAATTTTAAAAATTCGAGTTTTTTTGAAGTTCAAAAAGTCCAAAGAAGAACTAAATGCACCAAAGAAGAACCAAAGAAGAACTAATTCGTACTATTTCTCGAATATATTTTCGGCTGGTGGCTGTGAACAGGAAAAATAATTTCTCCACGTGTTATTACTTTAAACGCGGCAAAAGTTTTCATAAATTGGCGAGAGATGCGCGTAATATGAAAGGTATTCTCTGCAGTTAGGTGGTGTTTACAACCGGATTCGATACAGTAAGGAAAGAAATTAAAATTCTTTCTCTTTTTGAGAGCTTTATATTGCTGATCAATTTTGACATTTTCTCACATCAGAAAAAAAATTAGACCAAAATTTATTTTTTCAATACACTTTTTCATTTTTTTTTTTCTCATTCAGTGATTGAGACCATTCTTCCCCGAGTTAAACTGATTTTTGATGTCTTTTCCGTTTTTTTTTACCAATTGTAGCAGATGAACCCGTTATAAACATGGAAAAAACCGCGAAAGCCAGGTCGATTCGCGCGCCTTTCCTGTACGTCGGGGGTATAGCTCAGTGGCAGAGCATTCGACTGCAGATCGAGAGGTCCCCGGTTCAACTCCGGGTGCCCCCTACTTCCTTTTGCCTTTTTGACTTTTTTCAGTCTCATCCCTAGAAGGAAAATAATGAACGAAAGCTTCATATAAAAATGAATTTACTTGGAAAATGCATCTTAAAATTTTATCAAAACCAACGGCGTTGAGGCATGGGTTCCAAAACCGCTCTGGATTCACTTAAAGAGTTTATTCCAAGATTTTTCGACCAGCAGGCGCATGATAAACATTTTAGGAGTGAAATCTGCTCGGATAACATTTTTCGGTACTCCGTTGATCGAAAAAAGCATACATAGGCGTTTTGTGAGTATAAAAGCATTGCGAATACGACCTGAAACGTTTCTGTTGAGTTAAAATAATTGAATCAAACAAGAAATTAGACTCATTTACATTATAATTCTGAACCAGGATGATAATCTCTTGATCGACGCTGATGATACGCAGGAAGTTGATAATTAATGTCGTGAAAACCCGTGTAATCACAAAAACAATGACTAAAACGCTGATACTCCGCATCGCCTTTTTCTCAACCTCTAGCGCCGATCGTTGGCTACTTCCTGAAATTTCAAGTTTGAATTCGAAAAAAAGTTCAAGTCAAGGGCTGAAGCGTGTTCCATGGATACAACCTTTCAAAAAGTTCATTTTTCCGAGAAAAAAGAGTCATTAGCATCAGAAAACGTGTGCTCTGGATAAGAACTCTCAAAATGTGATTTTTCTGCGATTGGACCCTTTTTGAAAGCCCGAACAAAAAAATTTCAAAAAAACTGCGCTCTACGGATAAAACTAAAAAAAACTTCTGGTTTTGAAATAAATCAAGCTGAATGACGCTATATACGCCAACAGAGTGACCAAGGCTGCTAAAAACGCCACACGATACCACAAAGTGGCCACTTTAGGGTGCAGAGCCGTCGGCGGATTACACAACTTAAAAAATTCCTCGTTTTATGAATTCAAGGAAAACAACCTTGACAACATCCTGATTAGCGTCAGCAAATCCCAAAATAACGATGGAAGATCCGTAGATGAACCCAAGGGCCACAATAAAACACAAATACGGCGTGGTGGACAGGTTCCTGTGCCTAAATGAGTAAATTTCGAGTCTCAGAGATAATTCTATGAAAACTTACTCAATTGGAAAGAGAATCGCAATGAGAAAGTCAACAGAAATCGCAGCGATCAGAATCGTCTGGACGCAGTTGCAAAAAATGTCCAGAAATATGAAATTATAGCAAAAGTCTCTCTTGATTTGATAGTTTGTCGTGATTGCTACAAAAAAGTCTTAATGAAACAAAAATCTTGCAAATGTTTTTTCTGAAATAGGGACCGAGCTCTTTTTTTTCCTTTTCTGGAAACTCCGTTATTTCATTAAAAATAATGCGATTTTGAATTTTCTGCGCAACAATTTTTTTCTGATCTTTGAAAATTGTTTAAAAACTCACTAGCAATGCCAAAGGCAACATTGACCGACTCGGAAACGAGACAAAAGGTCTGGAAAGTCGTTAGCAACGTTAAAAGACACCCTAAAAACATTACAACTTCAAAAAAAGTAATTTAAAGACTACCATATTTGGTCCTCAAAACAGGTCGCCTAAAGTGCAGCCAAATAAGGTTCAAATTTCCGAACAGACCAATGAAAATCATCAAAATCACCACAGAGTACAGAAAATACTGGTGAGCTTTGTAGTCAACCATTCCGAGTCGGAAATAAACTGAAAATTATTCTTGAGAACCTATTTTAGTTCCTCTTTGACTTGTTCCACCCACAGCAGCTGGTAAAAAAAAGCAGATTAATTAATTGGAAACTTAAGCGATTTTCTCGAAATTGGAGGTTTATGAATCAGGACGAACGCAGTTCTCTACGCGGATGACTTTTCTCCAAATTAAATCTTTTTATCATCGACTTGGGACATAATGAAGTGTCCATTATAGATATGTATCAGCCCGAAATTTCTTCAGAAAAAAGGTTGAATCAGAAAATTAGGAGAGAAATGCGCAGTCAAGGTTAAATTCCATGAAAATGAGATGGTGTTTGAGCTTTTCAGTTTTGCAGAGGTTTAATATGAACGAAGTTAGAGAACCGCTCAAAATTACTCAAATACGTGGTGGTCGCGCTGCGACTGTGGCTGGAAAATGAGCTTTTCTTCTGGAAAAAATCTTGAATCTGCGCCCGACATTCTTTTCCTGAGCTACAGGATGCCGTAGCGCGCAAGCAGTTTTTAGTCCGGTGCATAGAAATTTTCTGGCAAATACCATGCGCAGAGGCATTTTGAATTCGAGCAAAAATTTAATTTTGTGAAAAATATCAAGAACAGAGCTATTCCTAATGCAATCAAAAAAAATTTTTCGAACTTTTCGTGCTATTTTTATGTTTTTAGGACCTCAACGTTGAGAAAAAAAAAAGCATAGATAGGTCAAACAGTGTGAAACGTTACGGAGGGAGTATTGTCAAATTTCAGATCATTCTCATACTTTATAAAATTTCATATATCTATTTATTTCATGAGGATCGTACCCGTTCAATTATTCACAAGTGAAAGGTTAACAGAGGTCATAAATAATATATACATTTTCAGTTCATTCACCGCCGACTAGAAGAAATATTTGATAATATATCAACGGAAGAAATAGAAAAAAGAAGTTTAGACGTCTAAAGCGGCCGGTGAATGGAGGTTATGTACAATTATAGTATTTACATCGAAAAAGTTGCGTTTTACCGGTTCCAATAGCGAAGGACCGGCTTCAAGACTGGTCTGGAATTATTTGTAGTATAAGTTTTGATGTTTTCCGACCAACAGGGACAGAAACAAGATGTCATAGGTAAAATCTGCTCCAGAAACATCCGACGGTACTCGGCGGACCGAATGAAGCAGACGTACGCGTTTTGGGAATATAACAGCATTGCGAAAATGACCTGAATCATGAATTGATTGAATTTTCTTTGGAAAAATGTAAGTTTACATTGTAATCTTGAACCAGGGTGATGATCTCTTGGCTGGAGTTGATGAAACGTAGAAAATTGATGATTAACGTTGTTGAGACGCGAGTCAGGATAAATACGATTAAAAGAACGCTGATGCTTCGCATCGCCTTTTTCTCGACTTGCATCGTCGTTGGTCGCGTTTTAGCTGAATTTTTAGTTCTTTATTATTGCAGAAAAGTCTTGGAAAATGTGCGAAAGTGCGCTCTACGGATGAAAAATGTTGGTATCCACTTTTCATCATATAAAAAGTTCCCAAGAAGCCTAAATAAGGTACAGAAAAAGGTAAAATTCTTGAAAATAGCTCGCAATTGATGAAAAAAAAAAGCTGGAATCCTCTCTCTAATTCATTTTGGAACATTGTTCAATCAATGGTCGGACGTTGAATGGCTCTGATTTCTTTTTTTATGTCCGAAAGCGTAAGTCGCTTTTCGTCAGATGCACTTCAGTCATTCCACGTACAACCACGACCTTCCTGGTCAGAATTAATAGAATTCGAAGTCAACAAAATGAGGTTTATTTCAAACTTTTAGACTGAAAGAGAAACTTGGATCACTAAAGTTGAAAAAAACTTTTTTAAAACCTCAATTCTCGGGAACATCATAAAGACCTATCAAAATGCGATCGATAGCAAAAACAGCAAAATTAATTATTATTGTACATCATTTCTAGGACAAAACTGTACGAAAAAAAGCTGAATTTTTCACTATCAGAGAAGAAAACGGCATCTTTAAAAAAAAAGTTATTATACCTTTCTAAAATATAATTTTTTCTCATAAGCTGAACTTATTCTGGTCAGATTTATAAAGAAGACACTTTACCGTTTCTTCAATATTTTATGAAAAAAACTCAAGTGCAAAACGAACAGTATGAATCTGAAACTGTGGTTCGCTGATAAACATTATTTGGAACCTTTGGCTTTGAAGTAAATCAAGCTAAACGACATGACATAGGCGAAAGACGTCGCCAAAGCCGCAATAAAGGCGACTCGATACCATAAAGTGGCTACTTGAGGGGGGAGAGCCGTCGGCGGATTGCACAACTGAGAGATTTCCTTGATTTCTCGACTTGTTGATAGATATCACCTTGATGATCGCATCGTCAGTCCCAACATATCCTAAGATGATGATATAGGAAGCGTAGATCAAAGCAATCGATAGAATCATCGACAAATATGGCCCATTCGAGAGATTTCTATGCCTAAAAACGGGGAATACCTCAAAGATTTCTTGGGAGCTCACCTGATTGGAAAAAGAATACAAAAGAGGAAATCGATAGAGAGGGCCGTGATGAGGATCGTCTGGACGCAGTTGCAAAAGATGTCGGGGAATATGAAATTGTAGCAAAAGTCTCTTTTGATCTGATAGCTCGAGGTCATGGCTGAAATACAGTCTATGAAGAAATTCAAGAAGGATAGATTTGAGGTGCGAGAAGGGAAGCGTGAAATCATGAAAAATGTCAGAAAAGGTATTTTCTCTTTCTCTGGTGTCTCTTCATTAAGCGTTCTCTTTTTCCTATCTTTATGGATTTATTGGGAATATGAGTAGAACAACTGTCGAAAAACTCACTAGCAATGCCAAAGGCGACATTGACCGACTCAGAAAGGACGCAGTAGGTTTGGAAAGTCGTCAATAACGTCAGAAGGCATCCTGAAAGTTTTGAAAGTTACTATAATCAGATAGTCTTCTCTTGTACATTTTATTATTTATCCACTATTTTTTAACTTGCTCAGGTTTCTATCATTTTCAATTTTAAGTTTCTCTAGTAGTTCATTTCAGCACGTGGGATGACTCAACGATTACAGAGTGCTGATTACAAAGCGCAGCAGACCTGAAACGGTTTGCGCGACGGATCATCAAAAACTATTGAAACGGGCTGCTTAATGAGAAGACAAATTTGAAGCCAGTTTTAACCGCTATGTTTCAAGCCATTCCAAGTGCGACCAGAAACTATCTGAACACCTACAATTTTTTGAAGGAAATTTTGAGCAATGTTCTGATAAAGAAAAAAGGATCACAACCAAATAAAATTCAAAAATACCCAAAAAATCTACCATATTTGTTGCGCAGTGCCGGATTCCTGACGTGCAGCAAAATAAGATGGTAATTTCCAAATAAGCCGAAAAAAGTCATGATAACCACTAAAGTGTACAGGAAATACTGATGACCTCTATAGTCAATCATTCTACTTTGTTCGAAAGACTAAAACAAAATATTAAAATGTTTTCAATAATTTTCGTCCGGAAATCAAGTTCCGTTTTTTGTTGATTAGATAAGCAGCAACAAAATTGTTACGTGTTGAAAAAAAAGGCAAAAAACAATTAACTAATTGGATTTATGCGTTTTCTGGCAACATGGGAACCTTGTGAATCATGCCGAAAACATTCTTTCGCTCAGTTTTGGGCCGAAAAAACGGCGACATTTTCGGAATTCTGCTTCATTTGCCGTTGGTTTTTTAGGAAGTGAAAAAGTGCGCGGACTACGGTGGAGATGTGTGAGGCATTTAGTGTGATACCTTTACTCACCTTATTTTTCAGTCAAATTCCTAGAAAAACTTCGTCCAAAAAATCACCTTGAAAAGGTTCTGTGACTGAAAAAATTCGAAAAACTTCTCGGGCATGGGTAACGCGAAACGGACGTGCTCCGGACGTTTCTGGGCGATTCTAGGGATCCCTTAAGGGTGCTGAGGCTACTAAGGTGGTCACTAGAAATGCTCCGACACGTCCGATTCGCGTCCCGTTCGCGTTACCAAGGTCCGAGTTTTCTGAACTACGTTTATTTCATTAAATCTCTGCTTAAATATTTTCTAAAACCTTAAGTTCAACTTTAAAGGCATAGGGGCAGTAAAAAATGGGGCTCCAGGTGAAAGCAGTATCTTATATAGTTTTTCTTTGCGAATCGAATGGTGTACTCAAAAAAATTACAGATGTGACAACTTTAGAACTCCCGCCATTAATTTTAAAAAAAGCTTTGGATCGGTATGCAGACAACTGTTTACAGTAGCCGTGCACGCGATGTTGCGGACGTCTCATTAGACTCGCATTTTGTGAGAAAGAACCGGGTATCTGCTTAAAATTAAGGGTTTCTACTCTGAAAAATCGATTAAGAAAACAGAAAATACACATTGATAATAAAGGAAACACAAAATATCGCTATCCCAAACGAAACCTGTGTAAAATCATCATTTTTCCCCAGAAAAGCGTTTTTGCGATCAAAGTTGGCAAATTATACATGAATAGAAAGCTTTTGTGACGAAAATAACTTTGGTGACAACAGAAAAAATTGAAAAATGAAAGAAACGAAGAAAAAAGCGAAAATCCGGAAGATGGCGAAGCCTGTTGTCCATAGAGCAACTTTACTGCCAATTGCCTTTTTTGCGGGAACTCAAGCTTTTCTCTCTCCGACTTTGAATTATTTTTTCTCCGAAACTAGGAACTTCTGTACATTTCCAAGTTTACCGTTCGATTCGCAATGAAAAACTCTACAAAATATTGCTTTGAACTGAAACACCGTTTTTTACTGCCCCTATGAAAAGAGTTAAGAAGATACTTGTCATTGTTATATTATGCTTCGCTCGGTTTTTTTTTTACTTTTTAACCGTAACTTCGAATTTCTTTCGAAATCAAAAACTCCTGTATAAAGTCTTCTTGACCTTGAAAAGTTTAAAGATTTTTTTTACTTTTTTTGCTTTTTGGAAGCTTCAAAAGTATAAATTTGCTGGAATTTTTTTATTGTATTATTAAGAATGCCTTTAAAAAAATTCTAGAAAATTCTGGACAATTTTTGGAAGAATTCGCGCAGAAGCTCCTTATGGCGCGAGAAGATAAACAACTAGAAAAATACTTTTTTTTCAAAAAAATGTTTTCTTTTTTTCAAGGACCAAACTATTGGTGTTGTTAACGATCATTTCATCAATAAGTTAGCGGATCATCGATTAAAAACCAAGCTATGGATGGAAAACTATAAAAAATCTTCACTAAATCTCTTCTTTCTTTAAATTTCTTCAAATAGTCGGTTTTTCATGAGCATTTTTCTACAAAATTCAGGTTTTACTTTATTTTTTTAAAGGGCGGCAAAGCTCAGCTGTTAAAACACAGGTTTATACTGGGCAACATTCGAAAAGAAGCTACCATATTTGTTGCGGAGAATTGGTCGCCGAACGTGCAGCAAAATGAGGTTCAGGTTGCCGAATAAGCCAAGGAAGGTCATGAAAATGACGACAGAATACAGAAAGTACTGATGTCCCCTGTAGTCAACCATTCTACCTCGCCAGGAGTGGGAAGTTTTCTACACAAGCGAGCTCTTTGTAGGTTGAATTCATCAACGAGTTTGTTTTCGAGTCGAAAAAGGAGGTAAAAAGGGGGATTTCCCTTTACAAATGGAAGCTTAATGAGTCAGACGGAGCACTCTCGCGATGACGAACTACGCAAAATATCTTTTTCGGGAGAATATTCCATTCATGGGTATCTTCAGAAAATAACGACGCACTTGAGAGTATAGTTTAAGCTTGAATGAATGCTACGTTTTCCAAAAACACACGTCTCGAAAGTATAAAAAAAGATGTAGGCGATGAGATGTTTGAATATATCTTATGTGTACTCTAGACGCGATTTCTCACGACTAGAGAGGCTAGAAAATTGCATGGACGGGCTAAAAATGTCGCTCTTTGATTTAAAATAAAGTTATGTTCAAATCACACAACTGCGCTTGATCTTTCGTCGCTTTCCTTCTAAAGTGTCCGACGATGGAATTTGTAATTTTCCACGAATTCGCTACACAACATTCATTAGAAGTTCAGATGAAAATTCTGAATCACTTTTTGAGTTTCGCGTCAAATAATATAACCGCTTCTCGAATCATCGAACCGTTCTTCCTCATATTGAGGCGTATCGAAACTTAGAGAAAAGTTCAAAAATATATTTAAAAAAACGGAAATCCAAGCGACAAGGTCTTCGAAATTAGTTATTGACGCTTAAATATGAACTATTGGATTTATCCAGTTGAGGTAGCTTTTTCCTGAACATTTTTATTGGGATCTTTTCAGTTTTGGAGAGATTATAACCTTTCTCACAGACTTCCTCGGCGATTTTCAGGGGCATTATCAGAATCAGCGTATAAAACTTCCCCCTTTGAACCCATCTTTTCAAAATCCACGCTGCTGAGAACAGTTTCTTATGAGTACCAAATTTCAAATTCGCACGATTTTGAGTCATTTCGGATGCTCCCATGAACTCATCAGCTTTCTTACGGTATTTCAGCATTCCCCATCAAAAAAAACCATCTTATTGCAGATTGAACAATATCAAGTTCGAATCATGATAAATGGCCTGAGAAAATTGAGTCAGGCGACCTGAAAAAATTCTCCCAAAGGCTACAAAATGTCAGTCCAAACCTTTTAAAATCATAAAAAATACTCAATTAGACTGCAACTTGGAAATTGTGGCTACAAAGCCGTTTGGGAAAATTTTCAGAGCGTTCTAAGTTTATAGGTATTTTCGTTTGGCGCACTTTTTTGCCGATTTTCCGGAAAACCAATATATCTTCGATGAAAAGAACCAGGATTTTATTTCTTGGAAATCTGAGCCTTATGTGAACCAACGGTATGTTTTCGCGAAGGTTCTAGCACAACTATCGAATCATTTGAGGTATAACTCTCGAGTTTTTTCGACCACCAGGGGCATATCAGGAAAGTTAGCGGTAAAATCTGCTGGGACAACATCCGACGGTACTCGGCGGACCGGAAAAAGCAGACATACGCGTTTTGGGAATATAATAGCAATGCGAATACAACCTGGAACACTTTGAAATAGATTTCGATCATTACTGAGAGCCACTCACATTATAGTCTTGGACCAAAGTGATTGTCTCTAGGTTGACTTCGACAATTCGCATAAAATTGATGACTAAAGATGTTGCGAACCTGGTGATAAGAAAAACAATAACCAAAACGCTGATACTTTTCAACGCCTTTTTCTCGATCACCATTGTTTGTTGAGCTCTGCCTGAAAAATACCCTGAAAATAGGCGTGAAAGTGCGCTCCGCTAACAATAAAGCTTTTGGAACTAATTATTCAAATTTGCACCTAATTATGCTCTAAAATCCCTTGCCTGTTGAAGAAAAAATTTCAAAAATCCTATGTATCCCGGTATTTTCTTTGAAAAAAAGCTTCAAGAACGGTCATTGGTGCTCAAAAAAAATCGAGCTATTCAGTTAATTTTTTGAAATGAAGATCAAGTTGATGTGCTCTATCGATAAATAATATCGAAAACAAAATTCGCAACAAGAAAAGTCACGTACGAAAAAAATAAATTCGTATTCATTCTTTGAGAATCAAACGTCTTTAATCGTTAAAGGGTGAAATACGTTTTTGAGACTGTTTATCATGATGGAAAAGTTTTCAATAGTCAATTCTTGAGCGGGTTATTACTCACATATGAGAATCGAGAAAGGGTATCGCGAGACCCTCTGAGGTACATCGCAGGGTCTGAATTTTCACGATGGTACCCAGAGGAGACCTCTGAGGATTTTGAGCAAAATGAGAGAGACTTGAGGGAGACTCTCAAGTACCTCCGAGATGGCTCAGATATAGCTAAAAGGTATGCCGGAGGTCTCACGAGGTACACATTATGGGGCCATATCCATTTTCAAAGGTATCTTTGAGGACACATTATTGTACCCTCTCGATTCGCCTGTGGTGCACCAAGGATGCCGCACGGTAGAAATTCTGCAGAGTGAAAAAAAGCAGAATGCACAGTGCGCCATCCTTGCTGAGTACTGAACCTTTTAAAAATGTGTAACTCTTTAACACGCGTTCTCTGAGAAAGTCGATGAATCTGAAGCAAAATAAAAAAAAAGTTTTTTTGATTTGCCTCAAAATGTGATCACGGCTGACACACGTGCTTCTGATTATTTAGCACCAGGTTCAAGGTGGCTCCGCCCCTTTTTAAAGATGCTGTAGACAGTAAGCTGAAAAAAATTAATTTTTTTCCTGTTGAGAATTTTCATTCAAAAACGTTTGGAAATGTAAGAAAACACTATTTTGAGTATTTTTTCAGTTGTAACTTTTTTTCTAACTCGACTTCTTCGGGGAGAAAAAAATCGAAATTTCCTTAAAAACAGCGATTTTTTCAGTTTTTGAGCCATAACTAGAGTATGAACCCCCCTATGGTACGACTTTTATTTCTGATTATGAAACTAGGGGCCTTCTTCTTCAAGAAAAAGTAGTTCTACAACAAATCCCTGGGGTGGGATAGTTGACCTCCATTCGACCGAAGGTGATCAACTTGAATCGGCTCAAAATTCAAAAAATCATTTTTCTCCTAATTTGACAGCTTCTTCCTCTTTTTTGTTTTGAAACAAAAGACAACAGACACGTTTATGTTCTCCACCATTTTGGTGCTCAAAGAAAATTTTATTCCGAATTTCTCGAGACTTTTCGAATTTTCGGACTTTCGTCGATTTTCGATTTTTTCCGTTTTTAGGTAGTTTTTTTCTGTAGGAACCCCCGAATGTGGTCATTATCTTTTGGTATATGGAAGAGTAGGTCTTTCTGGATAAGGAAAAATTAGTCCGGTGAAAATCTCTGGGGTGGCCCAGTTGACCTCCGACCGCCTGAAGGTGACGACCCCAAAAAAATGGAATTTTCATAAAGGCTCGGAAAAACAACTTTTTTTGTTTCCATTCTAACAAAAAAACTTTTTTTCAGTGAGACCTACATCACTTTTCAACATGAATCGGAGTCTTTTCGGCAAGAAATAAGTAGTTTTATTCAAATTTGAGGCTTGGCACGCTTATCTTCGTTTTCACCGTTCTTACCTGCTCTAAATTGCTGAAGTAACCTGGAAACCTGTTCAAAAAAATTTTTTTAGGGAAACCCAGCAAATCTTTTGAATTTTTTTGAACACCTAAACAAGTGAGATCGGAGAGAAGAAATGGCGAAAAAAGCTTTTTTATCAACTTTTTCGAGAAATAAAAACATCTTATGACATTCAATAATGTCGATGATTCTCAAAAATTATTTTTTCGCCAAAATACAGTAACTTACAGTTTTTTACTTTTTCAATCGACTCTATCCATACACTTTTTTCCTAAAATTGAGGTTTCTGAGGCTTTTAGAAGTTCTTGTAATACAATTCTGGCTTTTTTTGTGTTGCAACGTTTATACAGATACTTATTCATGTTTTTCATTCATTTACAGAACGACTCAAATGAAAAAAGGTTTTTAAAAAATGCATTTTTTGACCTAAGAAGCGTTTCAATGCATTTTCCGGATTAAAGTCAGGTTTATTAAGTCTCTCCTTTTTTCTTTTTATTAAGTTTCATCAATAGTTGTTTCTTAAAGAGTAATTGACATTTCTGAACGTCATAAGATGTTTTTATTTCTCGAAAAAGTTGATAAAAAAGCTTTTTTCGCCATTTCTTCTCTCCGATCTCACTTGTTTAGGTGTTCAAAAAAATTCAAAGATTTGCTGGGTTTCCCTAAAATTTTTTTGAACAGGTTTCCAGGTTACTTCAGCAATTTAGAGCAGGTAAGAACGGTGAAAACGAAGATAAGCGTGCCAAGCCTCAAATTTGAATAAAACTACTTATTTCTTGCCGAAAAGACTCCGATTCATGTTGAAAAGTGATGTAGGTCTCACTGAAAAAGTTTTTTGTTAGAATGGAAACAAAAAAAGTTGTTTTCCGAGCCTTTATGAAAATTCCATTTTTGGGGTCGTCACCTTCAGGCGGTCGGAGGTCAACTGGGCCACCCCAGAGATTTTCACCGGACTAATTTTTCCTTATCCAGAAAGACCTACTCTTCCATATACCAAAAGATAATGACCACATTCGGGGGTTCCTACAGAAAAAAACTACCTAAAAACGGAAAAAATCGAAAATCGACGAAAGTCCGAAAATTCGAAAAGTCTCGAGAAATTCGGAATAAAATTTTCTTTGAGCACCAAAATGGTGGAGAACATAAACGTGTCTGTTGTCTTTTGTTTCAAAACAAAAAAGAGGAAGAAGCTGTCAAATTAGGAGAAAAATGATTTTTTGAATTTTGAGCCGATTCAAGTTGATCACCTTCGGTCGAATGGAGGTCAACTATCCCACCCCAGGGATTTGTTGTAGAACTACTTTTTCTTGAAGAAGAAGGCCCCTAGTTTCATAATCAGAAATAAAAGTCGTACCATAGGGGGTTCATACTCTAGTTATGGCTCAAAAAAACTGAAAAAAATCGCTGTTTTTTTAAGGAAATTTCGATTTTTTTCTCCCCGAA